CTCGGCGGCCGCCCCCAGTCACCAGTCTAGCTGCCACATTCTGGATTAGTTGTAGTTTCTGAGTCACCTTCAAAGGTAGCCCCACGTAGAGTGCATTGCAGTAGTCCAAGCGGGAGATAACCAGAGCATGCACCACTCTGGCGAGACAGTCCTCAGGCAGATAGGGTCTCAGCCTACGTACCAGATGGAGCTGGTAAACAGCTGCCCTGGACACAGATTTGACCTGTGCCTCCATGGACAGCTGTGAGTCCAAAATGACTCCCAGGCTGCGCACCTGGTCCTTCAGGGGCACAGTTACCCCATTCAGGACCAGGGAATCCTCCATACCTGCCCGCCTCCTGTCCCCCAAAAACAGTACTTCTGTCTTGTCAGGATTCAACCTCAATCTGTTAGCCGCCATCCATCCTCCAACCGCCTCCAGACACTCACACAGGACCTTCACCGCCTTCACTAGTTCTGATTTAAAAGAGAGGTAGAGCTGGGTATCATCCGCATACTGATGAACACCCAGCCCAAACCTCCTGATGATCTCTCCCAGCGGCTGCATGTAAATGTTGAAAAGCATGGGGGAGAGGACAGAACCCTGAGGCACCCCCACAAGTGAGAGCCCAGGGGTCTGAACACTCATCCCCCACCACCACTTTCTGAACATGGCTCAGGAGGAAGGAGCGGAACCACTGTATGACAGTGCCCCCAGCTCCCAGCCCCTCAAGACGGTCCAGAAGAATGTTATGGTCGATGGTATCAAACGCCGCTGAGATATCCATCAGAACTAGGAAACAGCTCTCACCTTTGTCCCTAGCCCGCCGGAGATCATCAACCAGTGTGACCAAGGCAGTTTCAGTCCCATGATGAGGCCTGAATCCTGACTGGAAGGGATCCAAATGGTCCGCTTCTTCCAGGCGTGCCTGGAGTTGTTCAGCAACCGCTCGCTCAATCACCTTGCCCAAGAATGGAAGATTTGAGACTGGGCGATAGTTGGCCATCGTGGCCGCATCTAAAGATGGTTTTTTAAGAAGCGGTTTAATGGACTTCCTGTTTCTGGCGGTGGAAAATGGCTGATTCCACACAATCGGACCTCAGCCTTTCCGATAATTCAGGGCTGATATGGGGGTAATTAGCCCTGGCAGCCTCCCCAGGGCAGGGGAGGACTGTCTCAACGACCCGCGGTCTGCCCCAGATTGCCGATGTGGCAGACGGCAGGGGCACTGGGTCACGGAGCTAGGGATGGCTGACACTCCTGCTACGCCACCGCATAGCCGGACGCATCTGTTTGGGAAAATATAAAGATTTGGAAAACAAACAGACACGCTCTGAATTGAAGAAGCTGGAAAAAACCTGCAGTATGTACAGTCTCTGGTGCTATGATGTTGAATGCGCTTCGAAATTCAGACCGTGGGAAGTCAAAACAAAATTATTACAATTTGGAAGACAATTGAACCTTTTTTAATTTTTGTTTTTTATTTTTATTGGATTTGATTTGATATGATAATTGGATGTTTTTATTGGAAAATTAATAAATGCTTTAAAAAAAGAAAAAAAGAAGCGGTTTAATAACCGCCTCTTTCAGCGGGTCTGGGAAGGCTCCCTCACGGAGGGAAGCATTCACCACCCCATGAAGCCCATCGCCCAGTCCTTCCCAGCTAGCTTTTATAAGCCAGGATGGGCAAGGATCCAGGAGACAGGTGGTTGGTTTCACTCGTCCAAGCAGCCTGTCCACATCCTCGGAGGTAACAGATTGGAATTGATCCCACTCAACTTGACTAGACAAAATTCTAGCACTCTCCTGCCCTGGCCCTGCTCCCACGGTGGAGTCTACTTCTTCCCGAATCTGAGCGATTTTATCTGCAAAAAACTTTGCAAAATCATTGCAGCAGAACATGTGGCCCGTACCGGGCCCCGATGTTGCAGGTGGTTCCACTAAATTGTGAACCACCTGAAAAAGTCTCCTGCTGCTGTTTTCTGCAGATGCAATAGAGGCGGTGAAGAAATTCTTCTTCGCCGTCGCTATCACCACTTGGTAGGCTCGACGTTGAGCTCTAACCTGTGTCTGGTCAGATTCGGAATGAGTTATCCGCCACCGGCGCTCTAGCCGTCTCAATGATTGTTTCATTGCCCTCAGATCCGTGGAAAACCACAGGGCTGTCCGGGCTCCATGCAATCGGAGAGGGCGCTTCGGAGCCAAACAGTCAATAGCCCTGGTTAACTCCACATTCCAGCGGGCCACCAGGGAATCAGCTGAAAGGCCATCAACATGGGATAAAGCATCCCCTACCACTCTCTGGAAACCATTTGGATCCATTAAGGGGCGGGGGCGGACCATCCGAATTGGTCCCACCTCCCTGCAGAGGGGATGGGTCGCAGAGAAGTCCAGTTGCACCAGGAAGTGATCTGACCATGGCACTTCTTTCGTTTCGCTTTTACTTAGTGTCAGATCACCAACATCCATAGAGGTAAACACCAGGTCCAAGGCATGTCCGCGGCTATGGGTTGGGCCAGACTTATTCAGGGACAGCCCCATGGAGGCCATGCTTTCCATGAAGTCCCGAGCGGCCCCTTGTAAGGTCGTGTCGGCATGGATGTTAAAATCCCCTAGGACGACCAAGCTAGGTGTCTCCAGGAGAACATCCGCCACGACCTGAAGCAGCTCGGGCAGGGAATCCTTGGTGCAGCGGGGAGGTCGGTACACCAAAAGGAATCCTGTACTGCCCCTATTGCCCAACTTCCAGAACATGCACTCGGAAAACTGGGTCTTCCCAGTAGGACACCTGGTGCAAACTAATGACTTCCTAAAAATCACTGCAACCCCCCCTCCCCGCCCACATGACCTGGGTTGCTGTGCGTAAGAGAAACCTGGTGGACAAGCAGCGGCAAGGACAGGCCCATCTGCTTCATCCAACCAAGTCTCTGTTACACATGCCAGGTCAATCCATCCATGATCAAGTCATGGATGGCAGTGGCCTTATGAATTATTGACCTGGCATTGCACAGCAGCACCTTCAGGTCATGTGGGTATCCCTTGCTGATTCTAGTATCCATCCGGTCAGGACCAGACCCGGAGGCAGGAATAGTCCTCAGACGACAACTAAACCTGCCCCCTCTGTAATGACATGGTCTAGTCTTAGCGTAACTCCTCCTCCTACCCGTGATCACTGAGATCGGTTGTCCCAGTGCATTCCCCCCTGTGGAACATGCCCCAGCCATTTTGTGGGCTGGGGCCCCCTCCCCGGCAGCCCTGACCCCTCCCCTTAAGAACAAAATAACACCTTAAACAAACAAACAAAACCAATAAAACAATACAAACAAAAAACTGTAAAAATTACAAAAACATCAAAATCAAAAAAATTCCCCAAGCCCAACCAAACATCCATCCCACCCCCACCCCCACATACAAAAAATCCAAAAGAAATTTTTAAAAACATTTTAAAAACACTCTGTGCCCCTCCAGCAGTAACAGCAACTGTCCTAGTGAGGCCTGTCAGGCCCCGCGCTGGACCAGGTGGTAAGTGGCAAGAGCAGGGCCCTCAGGCACTCACTCAGGGGAGTCCTCCCGGGCAGCAGGCAGCAAGCAGCAAGCAGTCCTTGTGAGGCTTCAGGCCCCGCCCCAGGCCAGATGGTAAGTGGCAAGAGCAGGACCCTGAGGCACTCACTCAGGGGAGTCATCCCGGGCAGCTTGCTTCCCCCTTCCTTGCTAAAGAGGAGCCAGCGCCTGCCCAAATCATGAAATATCAAAACAGCTGTCTCTATTAATTCCGTGCAGCCTGAGCTGTATGAGTTTGACTGTGAGAGCTGTGCTGACCCAAGTTCAGATTCTTTTAAAAAATCACCTGAGCTCCACATGGACCCTGGTGTAACAAAAGAAGAGAGACATTACAGAATCACTTCATGCTAACAGATGCCTGATTGTGAACTCTGAACACTTGGGGAAAAGAGTAAAGTGGATATAACAAATCCTACAAAGTGAAAACCTCAGTTGGAGAGTCTTGGCAGTAGCGTTTAATATCTAAACTTTCTTGCCACCCGACCTAGTGCTTCAGTAAATCAAAGCATGTCAGCCAGCTCTTCTAAAGAACTTGATTATTTAGCACTGGCTGTATTTTATAGTGGGGTTTCCCTTTAGTCTCTATATTTCTTTTCTCCCGGTACTTTAACACATATGGCCACAATCATCTTGGAAGGAATGGTCAAGTATTAAATTCATCCCCATTTTGAAAGGAATGGTCTAAAAGCTTTCTTCAGTGTTCCATTGCTAACCATCTGATTCAGTCATCGGTTACTTCTAATATAATAAGAAGATATTGACTTTTCTTGAGGGGGATATCAAGATTTACTGACTTGGAGACTGAGGTATTTGCTGAGGGGAAATTGGAGTCAATATTTTACTCAAGGGACAATAAGTCCTGATAGTCACTGGTATATTGAGCCATTGTGTGATTTTCAGAAGTGCTGAGCAACACCAATTCCAACTGATGAGAGCTGAAAGCGTCTAATACTTCGAATGCTGGGATGGTGTCTGGGTAAAATAACTTAGATTCAAGGAAAAAACGGGTCAGAGGATCACAGACTCCTTATTCAACTTCAATCAGAAGCTTACTGATAACCAACCTGTTAAGTGGCAGAAACTTTTCAGATAGCTTTAGTTAATTGTGTAAGCACATGCACATATAAATTTATAGATGATTGAAATAGCCACCATAGTACAGAGTAGCAAGGGTCCATACAAACCCCACAATGTTAACTTACAGATGGCAATAGGAGAAATTCAATTTGGTTTGCATTTAAAGCCAAATATATCAAATTCATACTTTCTGAAACATGAGAACCCAAACTAGCCATTCTTCAGCATTCACATTTATCTGAATTTTGTGATGCGGCTGTCCAACCTAATGATGCTTACGAAGACACATATATCAGAGGAAAGTGTGCATAAAAATGAATATATTCATAAAATCATAAAACTATACAGTTGAAAGGTACCATGAGGGTCATCTAGTCCAACCCTCTGCTATGCTGGAATCTCTTCTTGAACCCATGACCCTGAGATTAAGAGTATCATGCTCTACCAACTGAGCTGTCCCAGATCATGAAAATAAAGTACATAATGCATTGTATCAGGATGAAATGCTTGTAAAAATGTGCACATTAGTCAAAACTACATTAAAAATTGGTTTTATTGGGAGAAATTTGCACCAAAGTGTTGAAGAATTTTCATGAGAATTTTTTTTAAATTTCAAATTCTTGCAGAAACATCAAGAACTGAATTTAAGGTTGGAAAAATGAGAAACCTGGAGAACTGAAACTGACCAATCCTTTCATTTCTGGATGGCAAATATGTGTGTGCACTGACATAAAAACAAAGATGCAAATCTTTAGAGTTGGTTTGCATGGGGTTGGGGGTCCTGCTAGCTTTCAGGTATCAGTTTAAAACCCAACCTCCATCTTAAAGAGCATAACCAGAAGGCTCTTAAAGTTTGCAGCTAATACTCATCTGCCCCAACTAGCCTTAATTAGTCATAAGCACCAACTATTTTGAGCGTGATCTTTCTAAGGCGGAAATCCTCAAAAACCTCTCAGCTCACACAGCTGAGTAAGTTCCCCTCTATCAAAGTACTTATCTAGTACTTTGAGACTCAGTAATTTTCGAACTTCCCTGTAATGCCCATATTCACCCATCTCAATCAGCACATGATGATTCTTAATCAGAATGATACTTGTATGCAGGTGCAAGTAACCATATGAAGACACTATTGTGCAAATTGTTTTTAAGTTAGGAACTTCTTACGTTCTGCAATGGCTGATCCCCTATTTAAAACATTCCATCTTCTCCAGAACATAGATATGAAAATTGATACTGAGCTGAAATTTCCTGGTGGGTTCTAGCCTTATTTAGGGCCCTTCCAGAATGGTGCTTTATGTTTTTGACACATCGCTGGTGGATATTTTCTGCATTAATTTGCTCTGCAATGCTTCTCCAATGCTACCACTGTGTTGCTGTCTAGAGGGCTTATAGCACAACTAAAGCCAAGCAAAACTAAATCAGGACATTAGTAGTAGTATAAGTTGTGGGCTTTCAGCAGGCCGTTATAGCAGATGCAAACAGTAAATAAAGCTGTGTGAAACAGTATTGAATCTGAGATTACATATGACTGCCCCAATAGCTTCATTAGCATGAATCGTCATGAATGTGCAGTGAAAAAGGACATCTGGAGGGGCCCTTCCTTGAGGTCCTGTTCTTTACAAAATCTCTATTATTCCTGTGGCGTGTGCTGATTTCACGGTGTGATAGCTGTGTCTCAAGCACTGCATTTAGTTGCACCATTGAGCAAACATTTTCTTGTGTGAACCAGTTTTGGCAGCCATTAAGGGTATGTTGCAACTAACAACTGTAGCTTTCAAAGCATACTCATGAACATTGTAAATACCTTTGAACATTGATCTGTCGCTTGCTCTACTAATTTCCTCACACAGAGGTTTTAATAAGGATTCAGCAAAAGTGTCAAAGAGCATTTGATTTTACCTTTCTGTTTCACATTGACATTTTGATCTGTACAAGCTGCTAAGTTATTCTTCTGTCATCATCATCTTCTTAACATAACGCTACCACTTGATAGTGAGTAGTAAGAACTATATAGCTGAACAGATAAATAACAGTGTAACAGTTTAGGGTGGAAGGAACATATTTTGACTGCAGTGCTTGCCATTCTGCATTGTTCTGTCTTAGAATTCGCTTTGTTCAGGCTACCTTCCAGTGCTACTATGCCAAGCCTGAAAATCAGAGCCCTTTACTTTGTCAGTCAGAAAGCTATTCCATCTGCATGCAGGTTTATTTGTTTTCAGGTAGATATAGCTGGTTGAACCTCCAGCTATATTGCATTATGTTATGTGGGGCCATGGTGTGGGGGGAAGGTTTTCCCTCGAAACAAATAGCCCACATTCCTAAATCCTTTGAGGGTCTGGCATTATCCATGCTGACTGATATGTGCTAAACCGTGTCCATGGTTGCAGGCAAAAGCAGTCCAGAGCTTTTGGATCCTGCTTGTGGTGGCAGGGGTGAAGATGGGAGAAGGAACTTGAAGACTGATGACTATCATCGATTTCTTATCAGATGATGCAAAATTACAGACAGATACTCAAACTGCATCTCATAATCAGTGTTTTATAGCTTAGAGATGTAAATTGCTCAATTGACTTCAATTGATAATGTTCCTAAGTAGTGTCCTTATAAGGCACTTGAGCGGTAGTGGTGAATTTTCATTGGGGGGGGTTGTCCTTCCTTATTTCTGCACTGTTTAGCACTGTAATTTCATTTAGCTGGGAGCTAAAAATATAAATGTGTGTGTGAGAGAACTGGGACCTTTTTAAAAAGGTTTCCCAGACCAAAGTGTCCTTTAGTCTGAAACAGCTGCTTGCTCAATAAAATGGGGTGAAAGAGTGGATAGAGATTACAGTGGTAATAAGTAGGCATTGAAACTGCAGAAGGAAAATTTGTGAGTGTGAGAGAGAGAGAGGGTGGGTGGGTGAGAATGAATAAGAGAGAACAGGTTGCCTGGTTGTTCTGGAGTTACTGAATTGAAGAGGAGCCCCATGAAGGCAGCTGCTCTAGTGCAGGTGAGAGTTCAGCAGGACATGAACTCTGTTTTAGATTACACAGAGAAAGAAATAGGCAGTGTGGTGTAGTAGCCAGAGAGCTGGACTAGGACCTTAATGGTGATGGTAGAAGAACCTGAGAAGGAAAACAAAAAAAAGTGACTTAGAAAAGCAAAGAATGTCAGCAAGAGATGCACCTGAACTTAGAATCATAGAATCATAGAATCATAGAGTTGGAAGAGACCACAAGGGCCATCGAGTCCAACCCCCTGCCAAGCAGGAAACACCATCAGAGCACTCCTGACATATGGTTGTCAAGCCTCTGCTTAAAGACCTCCAAAGAAGGAGACTCCACCACACTCCTTGGCAGCAAATTCCACTGTCAACTCCACTTGCTGACTCTAAGACAGGCAGCAGAGAAATCAGCATTTACAACAACAAGCAGCTGTAACACCTTAAACCGGGGGGGAAACTGAACTGTGATGGGAATAAAGTTCAGTCACAGAAAATACTTAACAGGGATAATGTGAACCTTTCCATCCAGAAAGAGATTTAGTTCTTTCCAGTGCTAATTTTCTAGAAAAAGAGGTGCCAGAACTCACCATGAATGCCTCCCTTGTTCTCTTATAATGGCAATGGTGCCCACCAGAGAGGTGCCGGAACTGAGTTCTACTGAGTTCTGGCTGAACAAAAGCCCTGGTTCTTTCCCATGATACAGACAGATATCTCAGGAGAAAGATGCTCTTGTCAGTGCAGTGCTTAGCTGATAAAATCTTTCCAGATTTTGTGTCTGATCTGTATCTCCTTTTCTCACCTTGGCAACAGAAGAAGACACAAACAGGAATGAGCTGTGGTTGTGTAAAAATACGTTTCCAGGCAGTCGGAAAGACACCACACTCTACTAATGTAAATGTACTTCCAGCCCAAGGGATTATCATCTAGTTCTTAGTATTAATGATGTGCTGTAAAAGTACTGACTGGGTTATAAATGAAATATGTACAAATCGAGCAGCCTAGTGGTGCGTCTGCTTGGCCATATTTGATAGGTTACCTAATGGACACCTAGCCTCTGCAACTCACCGGAGCCTGCGTTCTTCACTTCCCACTCATCAAATTTAGTGCTAAAGCACTGAGCTATGAGCACGGGAAACTGCAATGCAGATGTGTCCCCAGAGGATCGGAATGAGTATGAACTCTGGGATCTGGCCCAGTTTTAAAAAATACTACTTAACTGAATTTCCATCTGGCTGCTTCTGTATGTCTCATAACTTGCTTCCACTGCATATATCTTGTAGGTTTCTTATGTAAAAATCTTAGCACTGCAGACACTAAAATAGCACTAAAAATGCTCAATTGAAAGTCAGGGCATTTAAAAAAATATGTGTTAACTTGGTGCCTAAAACTTAACAGAAAGCATGCCAGGTGAGCAGCCCTGGGAAAAGCATTCAATAATTGGATACCATTTATCCAGCCATCAGCTGCCTGACCTCAGACGATAAGCAATATCATAATGACTTCAGTGGCAGGCGCTGATGACGCTCAGTATGTTACCTTCACCTTAATCGCTTTTGCCACCAGCTCCAAAAAGTCTCCAGAAGGTTTCTAGAATGATTTGGCCATTGGCTCAATAGTTGCAAGTTTTGGGGGCATATCTTGGGGGAGGGGGACCTTGTGTATTCGGAGAGTACGCAGTATGCAATTATTGCTTCAAGGATGCTTAATATCTTCGTAGTGTTTTTTTATTGGTGTTCAAAGTGCTTCACATACAGTATCTCAGTAATCCTTTCAAAATCCTTATTATGGTTGCAGTGTTGTAGATTTGAGGATGACAAATGGTGTCTTACCTAAGTCTATGTGGTGATCCCCATTGTTATATTTGATTGAACAGGGCCTGATTTATTATTATTTATTATTTATTAAATTTCTATATCACCCTTCATCTGAGGACCACAGGGTGGATCACAATATAAAATCACAAAAATACATAACACATTAACAAACAATTACACACACACACACACACACACACAGAGAGAGAGTTTATAAGTCCATAGATTGCTTAATTAGCCAGACCCCTAGGAAAAGAGGCCTGGCACCTAAAAATATGCAATGAAGGTGCCAAGTGAGCCTCCCTGAGGAGAGCACTCCACAAGCAGGAAACCACCACAGAAATTACAGCTCACATTCTTAACCAGTTCACCACACTTGCTTCCAAAATAAGTTCAGCTGCACTTTTACTCCTTTGGTGTTCTCCTATAAGCCACAGTGATAAGGATCAGGATACCATCTGGAAGGCCAAAGAAGACTGCTTCTAACTTTGTATGGAAATAAGCCTTCTTTCTTGGCAAACCTGGATTTTCAACCCCACATTTGCCCCACAACAGTTGGATGGGGGCGGGTGGGCGGTGTTAGTGGGGAGGAAGACTTGAATGAGTAAATCAGCAAGTGGGAAGAAGGAACACCTAACACCATGTTTCGCTTGAAATATTTAGAA